AGGAAAAATTATAAATACTATGATTTAAACCCTTCTTTAGATATATGAATTTCTCCTCTCTCTCTCTCTCTCTTTCTCTCTTAACTTGTCTCTTCCTATTTCCTAAAAACTCACTTTGGAAGAAGAAAACAATAAATAAGCACAAAAGTAGTAGTTACCAAATAATTGAAATTAAATATTAGTTATGATTAATGCTTTAAAATAGCTAAGGTACAGTCTCACCTACCTAATTGAAAAGTTCACGATTCAATCATCCAATGATTAGGCTAATAAGATAATCTAAGCTTATGGAATTTTTTCGCTTACAATGGTGCTTCAACAATGGGAAGTTCTTCGGAATGAAAGAAATGAAATGAAAATACATCAAAACCAAAAAGTATATATATATATTCAAACTTTAAGTTTCTGAAATAAAAAAAAATTCTGAAATAAGCTGCATATCGTTTAAAAATTTGGAATTGTAATTTAAAATCAGTGGTCAGAAGAAGGAGAAGCGTTAATTTCAAATGGTTGTTATACAATGCTACTGAAATGCAACACTGAATGATACAGTAACTGAAGAATGAGAAAACTTTCGGAATAAATTGTTCAAATACCAAAAAGATATTAAATCATTTCATTTCATCGTATTAATTGAGTCATATTTTCATAATATAATGTCTAATTGCTATTTCTTATTTTGCATTTATATGAAGAAAGAAAGTGAATTATTTGCCACTTAAAAAAAAGACTGATGGAAATGCACGAAACAATTATTTATAAACTTAATACACTTAATAATTTACATCTAATAATCGAATTCATTCATTCATATATTCCTTGAACACAAATGTATTCCATATTTTAGAATAATTATCTAAGCACTTATGAAATAATTTCTATGAAATATATTCCTACTTCACTACAAAAAAAAGGAGTAAATTAAAGGATCTCTGTGACTAATGTCAGTAAGTTAATCATCTGATATACTGATAACATTTCCTTAGAAGTTTGTAAGAGATAATAAAGAATGAACCATCTCTTTGTCTATGAAGAAATGGAAAACTTGAATAAAATTCTATTTCTTTATATCGATTTTTACAAGACTTAATTCATAGCATAAATATGAAGCTATTTTGAAAATGGAAATTTTAATGATGCATCATATGACACTATTGCTCTTAGATGACATTTCATACAACAGATTAGTAAAGTAGAACGTATAAGACAGAAAATCGTAAAAATTGTAATGAGAAGAATTATTAAGAATATACGAGATTATTCAGTGTAGCGTGATATTCCTTCTTAGTATTATTAAATTCCAGACTAGATGACAAATGAGTCTAAAAACAAGTTACGATCTATAAGGCTTTAATAGTTGTACTTGCTTAGTCTAACTTGTTGAAACTTTTAGAAATGCATCTCTTCTTCTTTCTGCTCCTGCCATTCGCATATTTTTTTTTTTTTTTTTTGACGTCGTAAGGATGGATTTCACGTGAACAAACATTGAAGCATATATAATTAGAAAAAGATTACATTGAAGGCTATGAAAAAATATATAAATTCAAAAAAAAAAAAAACCTTTTGAAGTTTTAAAATGAAAGCAATAATTAATGGAAATTTTTTTTCCACTTTATTTCATTAATGAAAATTACCTGAAAATGGTTTGAAGGATAGATAAGAAAGATAAAGTTGATTAAGTCTGAAACAGACATGCTAAATGTAGCTATTAGCAAATGGATTTTTATAGGAAGTCATCTGTTTGAAAATGTATTATTCATGCTATCTTATCGCTAACTTTATCAATGGATATTAATTATTTAGATTAAAACCATAATTATTGCTTTGTACTTCTTTTTCTCGGTTATTCTTCTTTTCTTTCATTACTATTAAATATAACAAAGTGCTAATTAATATCAGTAAATATCAACTGATGACAAACTATTTGCCTTCTTTAAATTAAAATTTTTTGTAAGCATTCTTTACACAATAATTTTTATTCCTCAATCGACCGCGCAACTAAGTTATTTTTACTTTTCTTCAAGAAAAAAAAAAAAAAAAAGAATGCATAGAAGATGAAATTAGTTCGCCCTACAAAATCACTTTGAGAATTCTGTCCCAAACAAATGTATGCTATACATTTTTGACTACTTTTACCTCTAATAGGTTAAACCGATCGATTAGCGCAGTCGTCCAGTTCCGGACTCCATTGTTCATTAGCTTATTTAAGAATGAAAGGTCTATTTTCTGACAATTGGAATTGTTACGATGCCAGATGTTAAGTGCTAATGTTAGAAATGATCAAAATTGCGTAAATACTTATTTCAATGTTAAATCATAATCGCCCAAAGAATTCATTTTAAATTACTTTAATCGAGATCTGATTATTTCTTTTCTTTCCCACGTTAGAAAGTATTTCTTTCCCTTTCGCTTTTAAAATCAATAATTTCAAAAAAAGGAAAAAGAAGGAAAACATTCCTCGATTTTATCACTTCAAATCGATCATTAAACAAGAATATGTAATTGAAATTTGATAAATGAAAATGTAATGAAATTAAGTACATTACATTTAAAAGAAAGTTATGTTCAACACGCTACTTTTGTCACGCTATTCAGACAACTTCAAATTATTAAATAGTATTCGACTTGAACTTTTCCAATCGAAGAAGTGTTGATATGATTATGACAAATCAATGTTATTCTGCAGCAAGCAAAGTGATAATTCTCAGGTTGACATCACGACGACTTTATATTTTAATGGAATTCAACTTACATCAAATGCATAGTTACAAATTAAATCGCCTAGATTCTCTAACACTGGTATAGCCGAGGATTTAAGTGAAAAACATTTCATTGATTTTGAAAAATCATTTCTCATTTGTAATCAGAATAGTTTTTGTTATGAAACAGAAAATAAAGTTATCAAAATAATTCTAAATGTTAAGAGCAATGGCATTATAATAAATACTACTTTAAATGGTTAAAAAATTGTAGTTTTATGTTTGGAAAATTGATGACAACATTATTTTTTCTTAAACACATATTCATTGAATTATTGAAATTGTGATGTGATTAGGATAAGGTAAAATTTGTTGTGAAAAAACAAATGGCATTGTTATGATGAGAGAATCTAACCAAATAAGAGACATTAATGATAAAGTTTTGAGTTTTGAAATAAAGTTGTAAATGACTTAATTTTAATCAAAGCGTACAACCTCTTCTAAAATCTTTTTGTTGACAGCAATATCATTGTGAGATATTGCAATCCTTCACATTTCATTTCATACTAAGTAAACGAGCAATACAGATATTGAAATTTCCGCTGATATTCTTCAAGTGCTCTTCTTAAATCGTCTGCTATCCTCTTGTGCTTAAATAAGCTTTCTCAATAAAAGTGAATTTAAAAAAATTCACTTTCATATGAAATGACTTAATCTTTGCAATCCAAACTTTATGAAAAATTGATCACAGAAAGAAACAAATTTTTTTTACATCTATGAAATGAATGAATAAATAAACTGCAGTGGTTGGTTTATCAAACATTAAATTACAGGAAAATACAAAAATAAAGAGTTTTACTTTAAAATGAAACCTGCGACATTCTCTTAAAAAGTATTAGTGAATAAGAGATGTTTTTATTCAAAGTTATTAATATTTTTACGATTTTGTTTTTCGTTATTAAAGGTTTATTAAAAAAAGCTTTTTTTTTTAAAGCTATCTTCTACCCTACCATTTTTAAATAGCAACTTCGCGTGATGGCATTAAAATAGCGTAAGTGATTTTTTTCTTTTTTTTTTTTTTTAATTTTAGCAAGTCTTCAGAAATTTGTCTTAATATTAAAATTTTTTTATTTTTATTCATATTTTCTTGAGGATAGATTTTAATAAAATTTTTATATTTTTTATTTTTCAAAATTGTTTCGGAGTTAACAAGGCTGCTTATATTAGTATGCTGAGCTACATTAATATTGTATATTTTTTGTGAGAAGTGAGAGAACTTTTTGATTTTGAGATATTTTTCTTCCATAAAAACTGAATCTGATATTAGTTTAGTTCGTCGTGAGACAGAGCGGTTTATCTTGTATATTTATTTGTTTTTATCACAGTTAGTACAAAAGATCTGTTTTCACTCCTTTGAAAAGCTGAAATTAAAATAATGTTGGGAATTTTATTTTCACTGTTCGTTCGTTTTTTCTTTCATAAACGTCATTCGACTCCTACTTTTGCCGCAGAAAAGAATTATAGTAACTTGTGTAATAGTAATTATAGTAACTTGTGTTGTTGTTTTCATAATGAGACATTAGTTTGGGATGGTCTTGGTTTGACAAAGATTGTGCTACAACAGTCGTGTCTCATTATGGGATTTTAAGTGAGATTGTGAGGGTTTATGTTTCTGGCTGGCTTGTTACTTCTCACTTTTCATTTCTGCATAATTAGAATCAAATTATTTTCTCCAATCAGATCTCAAGTTGACCATTCGTCCATAACTGCGAGTGTTATTGATCTCTTGATTTTATATTAGATACGTGACGTGTTGTGATGGTGGAATAGACGTACGTTATCTCATCTGCGTGCATTTTTGAATGAAGGGAAATGTAGTCCATATTTTGTCTCATTCTGATGAGTCCGTGGTAGATCAGATAAACAGTTTGTTCATTTAACGTGCCTCAAATTCTGCATATCCATGTTATTACTTTATCGGCCTCTGTCTATATATTAAAATAAAAATGAATATATATTAAAATAAGAAATTGATGAATATTGATTGGACTTTATTACTTGTTACCAGTCCGGAAGTATGCACATTGGTAGAATAGTTGAGTCGTACGATACGCAATAAGCGAAGGTGTGCTTAAAAGAGTAAATAACTCACTGTATGCATTTAGTTTCATCGGTTCACTAATAACTTCAGTGTTTTTAGAATTATTGTAATGGTTTTTATTCCGCTTCTGAAGTTTCACTGCTTCTTGCATTTTGTACGTATATCATTTTAAATTCATTTATTGTTAGCAGTATAAAGCCATGGGAAAACCGAAGGGTATACGCACAGCGCGTAAACTGAAAACGCATAGACAAGCTCAGCGTTGGAATGATAAGGGCTATAAGAAGGCACATTTAGGAACACGATGGAAGGCGAATCCATTTGGAGCAGCATCGCATGCTAAAGGCATCGTCCTAGAAAAAGTGTAAGTAATATCTTCATTGAAGATTTAGATTTTGAGAGATTTGTTTAGTTTATTATTTGATGTAATTCTGTAGTACAGGCCCTGATTTGTCATTTGACATTCTGATATATAAATACTTTGCTTCTCTAAATATCTCATCCCAGTGCTTTGGCGATGCCTACTAGCTCTTTATTCCTTAGAAATCTTTACCAATTCATCTTAAAGATGTGTCTTAATTACTTTCTGCTTTAGAGGTGTTGAAGCAAAACAGCCAAATTCAGCTATTCGCAAATGTGTTCGTGTGCAACTAATTAAGAATGGAAAGAAGATCACAGCATTCGTACCAAATGATGGTTGCTTGAACTTCATTGAAGTAAACTTTTTGGATAAACTGTTTTCAGAGCTTTCATTTATTATTCTTCTTGGTACTCAGCATGGTATTTCTTTCGCTATAAAGACGTCTTATTTATTCTTTAATGGGCCTTGTTTATTTTGCAGGAAAATGACGAAGTTCTTGTTGCTGGCTTTGGTCGGAAAGGACATGCTGTGGGTGATATACCTGGTGTACGCTTTAAGATTGTCAAAGTAGCGAATACATCATTGATTGCACTGTTTAAAGGAAAAAAAGAAAGGCCACGTTCATAAATAAAAAATTCTTGGTTGTTTCGTTGTCGATAATTGTTATGTGGTGGCTATTATAAAATTTTTCTACATTCGAGCATTTTATTTCAGTGTGAAAACTGCACAACATTTTCTGATGTAACAAAAGGATTTGTTTAAATTAAAATTCATGAGATATTTTATAGGACAGAAATTGATTTTCTGTAGAATTAATCACTCTGGTTCTGAATATATGTGCAATACTTTGCAAGAGATTGCTGTTTTGTTGCAATGTATCCTTATGAATTAACGGATTCTCTCATTTCAAATTTCATTTCTGGTTGAGCTAATTAATGTCACAATCAAGAAAGGAAGGATGCATTTTTTTCGGGTTGGATGAAGGGAAAAGTAGAAGTCAAGCGTACTTTTTATTATTTAGATGGTCCCGTAAAGTAAATGTGCGCTTATTTATGCCGATTAGGCTCCTAATGTCTGAAAGCCTCAAATTATAAGTCACGAAGAGGACAGATAATGGAGTGGGTGGAATTAGGGAGTGCATTGGGAGCTGGATTGCGGTAAATTTGTGTTCAGCTTAATTTGCTTCGATAAAATTCGACGGATTTATGAGCCTGCTCTTTGTTCCGTTGATTCTCACGAATCTGCAAGAATAGGAAATGGTGTAATGTATCGTATGGCTTAGCTACTAGCATATCCCAAAGGGAAATGTAAAAAGTCGGATTTTATGAACATTTTTCTTTTTACCCTTTGTGGGATGAGAAGCAGAACCAATTTCTTTTTGGAAGTATTTCTGAAACCAGTAGAGTTGGGATTTAAATTTAAAGTGAAACAGTTGAAGGCCTTGGAGTATATATATGTTTGTGTGTATGTGTGTGTGTATGTGGGTGTGTGTGGGTGTGTTAAATATCTTAATGTTAACTGTAACTGCTTTGTTCTGGAATTTTGCATCGTTGCAGGGCTATTTCTGATATCAAGCTTTCATGGGTTGGATCCCCATTGATGGAATGAAAAAGGGAATTGAGGAGGAGAGTGTTGCTAATCACGGATTGCTTTTATCAATTGAAGAAGTTAATCAAATAACAAGGAGCTGTCAGCTAGTCTCAATCAGGAATCCTGTACCTTCTTCCGTCGTGTTTTTGTTACTAAAAACTCGAAAAACCCACAAAATTTATTCAACTGACCTCTATCGTTTTGGCGAACTATACATTTAACTTATTATGCAAAATGAAAATGCACTAAGAGTTGCTTTTCAGATTTTAGTCCATTTCTTGCACATTTGAATTCTTATCTCATTTGTTATTGAGAAATCCTCATTTATACTATTTCCATTTCTTTATTGCTGCTTCTCAAAATGATTATCCCTCGCTAAAACTTTCTAGAGAAGCTCAACACATCATTACTTATTTAAAATATGCTATTAATCTTAGATTTTTCATTGCCAAATTATTGAGCGTATGCTATATAAGGAATTTTGATGGTTCCCTTCAAGTTTCAATCATTCTGTTGCTAAAATTACTAAATCGGTCTTTTTATTTTTATTTCACTTTGGAATTTAATAAGCAAATTGTAAAAAACGAACTTCGATTCATTTCCATTTCGACAAACGATCTGCAACAAATAATAAAATAACTTCTATTTGCTTTCTTATGGGTTCGAGTTGGTATCATTTTTTTCATTGAGAAAAAAATATTTGAATGCAAAAAAAAGATGAAATTGGATATTTGTCAAATCAAAAGATTCAGTATTGGTATGCCACAGATTCTTTCCTGTAACTTTATACCAATTAAAATATCGGCTGCTTAGTGATATTGCAAATATCATAGAATAAATCTTATCATCTGAATCATTTTCGTCCCATTTATTGTCAAATATTTAAATGAGTCTGTTCACAGTGAGAGGAAGTACCACAAAAAAGTTATTAGAAGTTTGAACGAATGTTGCAGATGAATCATTCTTGTTTCACTCCTTATTATTTCATCCATTTTACTAAAACAACAGTCGTTCGCTAAATTTGATGTGTTTTGTTGCATTAAATTTCATACCAAATTGCTGAAGTATCAAACTTAAAATTCAATAAACATTTTCAAAGCAACTGGATGGGAAAATACTGCTGAAAAATAAAAGTACATTCGAAAAAATTGGATTAAGCAAATATTTCGTCTAATATCCCAATTTGTTAGACTTAATTAGAAAAATAAATTAAATTTTTTACCAAATTTGCTTAACTTTGGGTTAGAATAAAATGCGTTAATTGTGAATTTGATAATTACTTGATTCACTGACTAATATCCCAAATAGAATCATTCGAAGCTTCTTGATTCCTAATTATTCAAATTATTAGAAAGTAGAAATTAATCTATTGAATAAGCACCGATAATTAATTGTGTTATATTTCTTGTCCTTAAAATCTAGAATATATGCTTTTCCGTTAATCATTTTACCGTACAGTACAATAAATACACTAAGTCTAACAAATTGGGATATTAGACGAAATATTTGAAATCAGATACAATCATGATTGATTATAAAGGTTACATCATGTCATCCAAAGAGATAATTTCCGATTAATTAAATGAATGATTCTAATGAATTCAGTGCTAATTACTCTAATTGCTGTAAAAGGTATCTCTCTATTTAAATCAACAAATTTTTGTTAATAAAACATTTAGTGCTGAATTGAATGAAGTAAAACGCAAGTACTAAATTTCAGATAAACACTCATCTTTCAAACTTTGCTTTATTTAAATCTTTTATTTTAACAAAATTTCTGTATAATTTCATCCATCACTGATTTATACAACTTTTTCATTTTCACATTTTCCTTATTCCTTATTTTCCACTTTCTGAATTGTTCTCTTTGCTGAAAATTGTTATTTTCTAGCCGAAAGCTGTAATGAATTAGTGCATCATTCACCATTTGCAGTAATGTAACTAAAATAAAAGTTGATGTATTCGTTGGCAGTAATGATAGCTGTGATTCATTTTTGGATATCACTGTTGGTGAATGGAACAAGTCAGGTGCAATTAATTTATCATTAATTGCTTTTGCTACTTTTGTTTATCTTTACATTATTTCTATAAAGTAATAAAGAAGATTGTATGCGTGATAACGATTGGTTATCAAACAAAGCATAATTATCAATCTTTCGCGTAATCTTAATCAAATGTTCAAACAACAATATTTTAAGAACATTTTTTGATTGAAAAATTTTTTTTTGTCATTTCTTTCAGATTGCAGCAGCAGGTTTCCATGCTTCTAATGTTAAAAAATCAGATGGGTTATACGACATTATGGCCGATGATGATTCGTCTGTGCAATGGTCTACATACTACCGGAACGGCATTAGCGGAAAGTATAACTTTTAAGTTGATTTTAGCAAATCTATTTTCCAAATTTTACTTTTCATTTTGTTTACTGTTTGATTCTGTTAATATGAGATGAATTTAAAGTACAAAGACTATTCTACTGCCTTATATTTGATTGATCTATTGAATTTCAATTTTTTAATCACTTCATTTTGCTATTTCGTTTAATGCTCTCTCATTTGCAAATATTATTTTTCTCTTTAACTTTTTTACTTGGCCATTTCCATCATTCATCCTATACCCTAAACATGCATGTAGTGTATGCTAAATTGCAATTCAACTGCACTAAAAAGCTTTTGCATCAAAATGCATCAACTATCCATTTATCGCTTTTATAATAACATTCCAAGGAAATCGTTTCAATAATTGGCTTTTCTCCTGAAGTAACTTCTACTTGTTACTAAGCATTTTTCATCCTTTGCAAGTTCAACGAAACTTACATGAAGTAATTATATTGAAAGCTCTTGGAGGTCATGATAAATTTGAATTCTAATATTTTAGCTTTTATAAAAGAAATTCAAATTTTCTCTCCAAATCGGAACTATGTTTTTGTTTGTTCGTTCTGAAAACGGAATAATTCACAGCTAAATTGTGAAGTTTTAACTCAGCCATAAAAGAAGTCTTTTCATCCCTAACGAGAAACTTGAATAAGTTAATTTTTCATCTTTTTTTTGGGGATTGAAATTTTTGAAAAATTGTAGTGAAACGAGCGATTTTTTTCATTTTCTTGTTCGCACTGATTATGATCATCGGAAAGAACCGGAAAATGATGACGGAGGTTTGCTATTCCGTTTGGTTAAGTTGATTTACATTGTTTCAGTTTAATTCATTTTTATTTTAGTCAAATAACATTTTCAAAATAAATATTTTAGGTGTTTCAGCTAAAACTCTATGAAATTGACAAGTTTTTTTTTTTAAAAAAAAAACTTAATACAAAAAAAAAAAAAAACTTAATACAAGTTTTTTTTTTAAAAAAATATAAATTGAATAATTTTTCCATCAACTGGTATGAGAACTTAGTTGTGTTTGCAGAAGCGGTTATAATTAATGTATCAATTGTTGTTAGCAATATTCGAGCTGTTTCTGAAGTTACTATGGTACGAGAATTTAGTTGCTTATTTGTTTTAAATTTTTTTCCTAAATATTTCTTGTCTTCTAAAACTAAAGATATTATCATTTCTGAACAAGTATTCGAATGCTTGAAGGTTTCATTTCATCGGTCTTTTCAAAAGTATCATAATGGATTTTACACTTGTCTATAAGATAATTAAGGACTATGCTCTTGAATTGTTTTATCGTGAATCATGGCTGGACAAGAGATTGCGTTATCAGAATCATTTCAAAGATCGGAAGATATCATTACATGAAAGTTATATCAACTTCTTATGGCATCCGGACACATTCATGCCAAATGCGGTCGCTTCCAAGAATCCGCAAAAACATTCAATTTCACATCGTTCTTTGCTGAGGTCAAAAGTCTCCTACTATTTAAAATTTTACAAATTGAATAAGTTGACAATTAAGAAGTGCTGTCATCTTGAATAGAAAAGTCTACATGGCTAGATGTGATAAGGAGAATGATAAACATTGCCTTCTTCTCAAATGTCCTGTTCAGGTTGAGTGAAGATGGCACAGTCCTCTACAGTAGACGTATTTCCATCGTGGCCGAATGTCCAATGGACCTGACACTTTTCCCATTCGACTCACAATTATGTAAACTTGGAATCGAAAGTTGTTAGTTTAAACTTATGACAATTGACCCTACTATTTGTTATTCTTATTTGCAAAGAGAAAAAATAAGAGATATTTAATAAAAAGCATTTCAATCTTACATTTTATTTAAAAAAAATAAATTAAATAAATTATAGTTATATGACTTATATTGAATTGGGATTTTAATAGAAATTTAATTATTTGCAGATGGATATACAGCAGATCGTGTGAGATATTCCTGGTCCAAAGACGTCAAAGCGCCGCTACTGCTTCACAAAATCCGGTTGCCGGATTTCCAAATCAAAGAAGCTTATGTGACGAGCGTTATTGAAAATTATGCTACAGGCTAGCTTTCCTCTGCCTTTTTAAATGTAGCAAGTTTAAGTCTGAAAATTCTTCAAATTTAAGCTTTGAATTTTGAACCATATATTCAAGGTTTTAATTATAAGTTTCTTCGAGATGAAAATGTTTCCGTTAATCACAAAGAACAAATTTATTTTATATTGCTTTAGGCAATTATAGCAGACTTTATGTATGTTTTGTGTTTGATCGTTCATCAGGATTTTGTCTGATCCAATTGGTAGTCCCATCTACGGCAGTTGTCATCACCTCATGGGTCTCATTATGGATGGAAAGCGAGACTGAATTTCAGGCAAAATTTTTTTCTGGCTGATAAATTCTAGCATTTTTGTTAGAATCACAGCTTATATATATATATATATATATATATATATATATATATATATATATATATATATATTTTAAATTTGTTACATTTCAGTAAATTCAACGAAGTTAGAGCATTATGTTAAATTTGAAAGTTTGCATTGAAATTAAATAGAAATTTCAGGATATGGTTTCAATTATACTGGCAATAACATTTTTGATATTCTCATACAATGAGATGATGCCTCGTGTAAGCTATATCAAAGCCATGGATATCTATCTTGGTTTGTTTCTATCTTTTCTTAATTTTCGTTTGAATTTTAATAACATCAAAAGTAGTATGTTATTCTTTCGTATGATCTTGCTAATAAATTTCAAATTTTTAAAGTTTCATAATGCAATCTATTTTCAGGTGTATGCTTTATGGCTGTGTTTTTATCTTTGATCAAGATTGCTCTTGTAAAATTTATGCGGCAGAAGCTTAATAAAGAAAGGTTATTGTATTAAGTTAACCTTAAATTCATTTTGTTACTTTGGCACCATGGTAATTAGATGATACAGAATAATCACAGTATTAAAATGCTATCAAATTTGTCGTCAATTTTAATTAAAAGCAAATTATGTCTTTTCTAGTAGATTTAACTCATACAGTAGTCGAGTAAACAAAAACGGAACATTGATTGAAAATCGATGCAGAAAGCGATCCTCCATGGTTGCATCGATGCTAGCAAAGGTTAATATGGCCACAAATGATACATTTAATGAGCCTGGCATTGTTGTGGCATCATCGCGGACGACTTGTATCGATTTTGATTTACCTTCTTTGCAGCAAAGGTACTGATAGTATTCACAAATTATGGTAATAAAATATGCAAATTATTGAACAATTTGGTGAAATTTGTCAAACTACACTCCAAAGAAATTCCCGAGAAATTACCTTACATTTTAACTGTAGATCTTGTCGTTTGTCTAATTCACATACATCAATTTCAATGAATGATCCATGCGAATTAGACCATTATTTGGAAAAACGACGACAGTTACGATGTTTCACTTTAAAATATTTGTTGCATAATTGTCGATTATCAAAAAAGTCAATACAGATGTTCCATTGGATAACTCAGGTTTGAATCATTGTCGTATTTCTCTTGCGAGAATCTATTAATTTTGGAGTGATTTATCTTTTTATTACGACTCATTATTAGCTTATTCGAGTGAGTAACGGAAATATTCAGCTAAAACAAGGACAAAAAAAGAATTTAATGAGTTTTAAGTTTTTTTTCGAATTTATAGCATTCGAGTTATTGAGGCTTCGATTAGAAAATTAATTATGAAACAGATAGCATTTTGCTCTGTTTTTAATTTGCTTTTTTTTCCTTTCTCTTTTTTGTTCTCTGTCAAATATAATCGGAAATAAATTTTTCAATTTGATAAATTTTGACAATTTTTTTAGAAACTATTATTGATTTTTAGAAAATAAGATATAATGCATTGCTACTGACCATATGTCTTACTAATGAGATTTTAATACCATAGCGAACGGCGAACCATTCATTTGAAAACCAATGAACCAGTTACTCTGTCAATAACATTAATTAATGTCTTACTAATGTCATAATGGTATATTTTCAGATGATCTTTCTGATAGCATTCATGTCATTTTGTCTATTCTATTTTCTGTTATATCCCAACATGCATGTCAAAATGGAAGATGTCGAATGCGATCGTACAAAATCAGAATGGTTCGCCGAAATCACTTAATCATCTTAGCAGCTTTAGATTATATGTGATAAGTTGTTACTCCCACTTTCTTTACTGGTGCAAAGTTTTTTCATGAAATTTTAACAAACTTTTCTAGCTAAAAACTTATTTTAAGCTAGGAATGTCACACAATATATGTTTATTAGTTCAATGTTCTCAATCATTTTTCCGTCCCCAAAAAAATTTTGGATGTACTACTTATGAATTAGTTTGAATGCTATAAGATACTGTTCGAGAATCTTATCTAATCAGCAATTATGAGATTTCGGAAGTTATCTAACAGATTTTAACTATAGATCAATTGTAAAAATTAAAGGGAACTTGATCTATCAATTGTATAAATTCTTTTTGTCGCAAATATTGTCTAAATGAAGAAAAAAAGTCGCAAATTTGAAAGGTCTATTTATTATTATTTTTCCTTTTTCTCTCTTTTTTCTTTAGTTTTCTTTTCATTTTTCTTTGCTCATTTTTTCTTGTAATACATTTATTTTTTCTTTGCTATAAAACATAAACATAAACAGGAAGTGTTGTGTTTGTCATTGTAGTACTACTGAACAACATTTAACCGTTCTGTATTACAACTAAATTATCAATTCGATTTCGTTTCACTCCTTCAGTTTAATTTGACAAAAATTTCAACTTAATTTTTAGCAATTAAACGATCACATAAATATTTAATGTAATAATCAGAGCAAAAATAATATAACAATGATTACTATCACACAATTAATATTAATCAGATCGATACTTACTGAGATATGCGACAATCAACTTTCAGTAATTCTATTTTTTTCAACTAATTTGTTAAAATCATTAATTGTCTCTCCTATTATTTGAAAGTAAACCTTTCTAACACACATATAACTGCTTCTTAATATGCTAACCTAACGCTTTCATCTTACCGAATTATTCAGTACTCTAACTGTACATTTCATTAAAATTTAAAATGTCAATAGACAGAATGTAAGACAGAGAGGGAGAGAGAGACAGAGAGAGAAAGAGAGAGGACTACGACATGTGTCACCCCAATATACAAGCGTGGAATGAAGTATGAAATGATTCACTTTTAATTTTTTTCACTTTATCACAAGCATTCACAGCATACATCTTTTTGATGAAAAATGAAGAGGAACATGCATAATGCAACATGCAGATGCATGCTTGCACGCACATAATAGATATGTATCAGCAAGCTTTCATCGCAGATCGATGACTGATGAGCTGCTTACGACGGGAAGTCTGAAGGGTGACGTGTGGACTGGGATGGAATCGATACATCTTCTCGAGTTTTCAGAGTTGCGATACAAGGCGAGAGAGCTGGGAAGGTGAAGTGTTCATATTCCTTTGCCATTTCACTGTCTCTTTGTTTATAAGCTAGAATTATATTTTCTTCCTCGATGAACTATAACCTTGACAGATTTTACTTTCTCTTCTATATTGTCCCGGGGGTAATTTTCTACCTATTGTCCCGGGTGAAAACCTAAGGAATATATATGTCAATAGGGAATGCATTTGTGAACTTTATGATATGAAATTCATTTCTAATGTCACTCAGATGAATTCCGTTCATTTCATTATTCTCACTGTTGTTCAAAATATTTCTCTCTTTGTCGCTGGTTCTTCACATCCTCTTACCATTCTCTGCCATCTCTTCTGTCTGATTCCTGCACTTTTAATCTCTACTGCAGTGATATACCAATTGCTTTCCCCGGGATAATTTTTCATCCTTCGCTGCAGGCAGTGCAGGAGGTGATGTATCCTTACCATCGCTCCAGTTGACCTCTTGCTCAGGTAGTAGCTTATCAGCCATCCTTACCATCACTCCAGTTCATCTGTCATGACCTTTTGCTCAGGTTGTAGCTTATCAGCCATCCTTACCATCACTCCAGTTCATCTGTCATGACCTCTTGCTCAGGTAGTAGCTTATCAGCCATCCTTACCATCACTCCAGTTCATCTGTCATGACCTCTTGCTCAGGTAGTAGCTTATCAGCCATCCTTACCATCACTCCAGTTCATCTGTCATGACCTCTTGCTCAGGTTGTAGCTTATCAGCCATCCTTACCATCACTCCAGTTCATCTGTCATGACCTTTTGCTCAGGTTGTAGCTTATCAGCCATCCTAGCATTTTGATTGCAATATTATCAGCATCTGACGTCCTTTCCTCTATCAGTAGTCTGCTAAGTGTGCTATTGTCACATTCTGCAAATTTAAGAATGCTCAGTGTTCTTCGTTCATTCAATTCGTTCAGAAAGTGTTCTTTAATAAACAAAATAGTTTGGTACTCTTTTATCTTTTGTGCTGTTCGTTAATGGTTGACAACCGGAAGATCTCAGCTCGATCCATCAGGCCATAGCATGTGATTATCTCAGCTGTTCATTGCACAATATTTGATATCTTTCTGCTACCGGTTTAGCATCCGATCTATAATTCGGATGCAGCTACCGGAAACTGTATCTCCTCCTATTGTGTTTATTATCCTTTTTTTCTAATTTTTATACGACTAAGTTATTTAGCATATTTTAAAATACTAAATTCTTCTATTTCTCAATTTATTTTGATGTGTTGTGTTTTTTTCTTCAGTGTTGTCCATCCAATTTTGATTTCCTGAAGACAACAGGCGATTTCATTTTTTCTTCCTAACCATCAATATTTTTGACATTTAATTCTTATTTTTAGTGTTTCTCCAAATTCCTTTTAAAAAAAATTCAAAATAATCACTGCCACTTCTTGGGGACTGAATATGAAATTTTTTTTCGGCAGTGAATATGAAATTTGATGAACTAACGAAGAAAATACTCGAACTAGCGGACTGGTCTAGTTCCGGTCGGAACTGTACTTCATTATCAGATCAGCCATCTGCATATTTCTTTATCAAAAGTAAGTTAGTTTGTTTACTTCTTCTAGACAACGAAATTTTATCCATTTTCTAATGTTATGGGAATTCCTGGCTTATTTAGTTTTCGTACTAGCTAGTGAATTAATAGAAATAATTTAATGGTACTCTCAGCAGTTGATATAATGAACTTCGTTTCAATTTTTTCATTCATTACAAGGATATGTTTACGGCCTAATAAAACAGCAAAAGCATAAGAGAATAAGTGTTGGCTCGAAAATCAGAAGGACACAGTAGAGTGTCTGAGGAAAGTTTTTAGGAAGAATGGGAGATAGGTGTGAAATTTACTATTGCAAAGAAAAGGTCGAAGTTTGTCTCTTTTTTGTTTCAGATGTAAACGGTGCTCAATTCATTCTAATACTATTTGCGTCAGTTTTTACCTTTATTGTATTGTTCTTAGCAGCTATTCATTGGTTTTATGTGTGGATGTATGTAGCTGAAGAGAAACGACAAAACAAACTTTATTTCTTGCTATCATTATTTCCGGTAAATTCTTCAGTTTAATTTTTGGTTCTGACTGCAAATACTACTTAAGAAATTTAAAGGTTTTCCATGATATGCGATACTAACTTCATAATTTGAACCATATTTTCTTATTTTCACAATAATATCACAATAACAATTTCAATCTTTTCATAAATCTTTCTCTTGTATGATAAGTGTATTCTTGTGCTCTTTATTCCAAATCTTTTGATCCAAGAAAATTTGAAACAACTTACCTCTTTTGATATTTTATGCACTTTTACTTTACAGAATACGAATTCATTTAATGATAGTGATTTACATTGTAAGAAAATTATTCGCAAACATTTAAAGGTATCAGCGATGTGCTGCTATATCGGTATGATATCACCACGTACATCAATGATGATGTCCTCACTTGGCGTTCTTTATTTCTTGACATGCCTATTTATACTTATTTCACTGATAAACCATTTGTTCGGTAGTCGTGAAGCATTCGCAACCATACTTCTATTGGACAAGAAGCCAATTGATTTTCAAAGTCCACCGTTTTGTTGTTGCTGTTCATTTTTACCAAAAGCAAAAAGTAGCGTGTAAGTTATTGAGTTTTTTTATTCTTTTTAAAAATTTGAAACAAATTTGTTTTCAACATAATTTTTAGAAATCTTTCAACTCCAGGCGAAATTTGCGACAACTGGAATGGTTAGTCTTACAGGCTCCAGTGGTTCGCGCGATGATCGTTACGTTTAATGTGATTGCGATCGCAGAATGGCGTGAAGCTGCTAATAAGTACTCATTTTTTTCTGTTGTTTATAATAGTTTGGCGACTGGTACCTCTAAACTTGACTGTCATTGATTGTTTTCATGCAAATTACTTGTCTTTTGATGACTGTCGTTTGCTGGAAACGATGTATTCATATAAATTTTTAATATGCTTCTTTTCTCATCGTTAAATGTCGAGAGAAACAATAATTACTTCGTCTATGCCAGCAATTGTGTTGTGTTCAAAAATTGATTCTTTTAGATACATACACTTCAGTGAAACAATTTCTGTTGCTTCTCTGCTACTTGCTATTTTTGGTGTTCATACATTAGCTCGTCTAACTTCCGTAAGTAATTAACATATTATGTGATTTCTCGTTGCTTTCTGTCTTTTTTTCAATAAAGAAAAAGCGATTTTAAGGATAAACTTCGACGTTATGGATTTATGACAATATTTCGAGTTGTTGACATTGCACTTTTATTTTTCACTGCTCAACAGCCAATAATATTTGAGAATATTTTGATACGATTTAATGTTTTAAAATGTGGTCCATTGCTATCTACGCTCGATAACGCTCGACGTAAGTTGGGATTTTTTTAATCATTTCATATGTCACTCTATGTTGATTTCATGGTCAAAGAATTTAAAATTCAATAATAATAATTACTGAAAAACTTTTTGATGATTGTCAGAGCTGAAACATTTAAGATGAATATGCCTCAATAAAAAAAAAAGCGTCCATTTCTTGTTTGGAATAATGAGACACATGAGGAAAAAGAATTCAAATTTTTTTTTTCATTGATGGACTTTAAATCAATAGAATTCAAAAATAGATGTTTACTACTCAATTTCGGATTTTCACAATTTTAACTCACATTAAAAGAAAGATAACATTTTGGTGCTAGTACTTTGCATTTCAGTTATATGTAACTTTGTGATTATCGTGGAAATGTTATTGTTGTCACTGTTTATAACTTTTATGGTTGCGCCTTCTCGAAGCGCTCTATTCGATTTGTACGGTTCTAAGGAAAGCAATGATATGCAATCCAGATTGACTCAGGAAAGTCTTCTAAGTAATCGTGAAACTGACGTGATTGTATTAGCTTAATAGTTAACTTATTAATTTTATAAAATGCAAAAGGCTTTCGAATGATAACTGATGAATACCAACAATGATAATGATAAATGGACAATCTTATTAGGAATATTATTGCACTTTATTGACGTCCTACTCGAATTTATCAATAATAATTATGGCGTTAAACTTATTTCGAACAATACAGAAGTTTCCGGATAGAAATCACTGTGTTTTAATTGCTAACTAACAGTTCAGATATTCAGCATATATTTATGCTTTTTCAAATTTTTGAAAAAGACATGGTTTTTACAGCTTCATTAGTCACTTTTGTTTAACGTCTAATATGAAATTTTCAAATCGTATTGGCTAACTTCGAGTTGTAAGTGTCGACTCAATAAAGTGCTCTAATCTTAAATATGCGTGACATAAAAACAATGAGTCAACGGAACACTGTCTGTATTGAAGACAGTACTGTTTATAAAATATTCAAGTATATTAGTTGACTATATCGTACTATGAAGTGTCGAAGTTGAGTTGTGTCGAATCAAAAATATTGTAAGATTAAAAGTGGATGACAATGTTAAGTATCTTAATAGTAATGCAATTTTATCAGTGGTGGGCATCATATGATGAAGGCTTTCTCGATGTTAACTGTAGTATGTACACATAACATATCGGGTGTATTTCCAATCGCTTTATTGCTAATAGATCGGAAGCTTACAAATTTTGGAGTTTCCGATATATTTTTAGTAGATCTGGTGAATTAATATTTGAGACGTGAAATTGTTTTTTTTTTTTTTTTTTTTGAATGAAATTTAATTAACACGGCATAAATATAATCAGAATTTAAATCGTACACTATTGATGAAAATTGTGACAAAAGTTTTCGGAAAATCTTGGTACAAGGACATACGTGGATCTCTGATGTGCAACATTCGTCACTATCCCGAAACTAGCAAACGTAGCTCAGACATTCCGTCTGATTTCGATTATCTGGTGTTAGTGCGGAAGAGATGACAATTTTTATTGAGTGGAAGTACTTCATTGATAGTAATAAATGAAAGATCAGTGTCAGTATGAAGATCTCTCTATATACGCAATATATATATATATTTTTTTTTTCTTCAAATTAGACTATGATAAAATGATAATAAAAATGTTTCACTCAAATTTGATTAGAAAAAGAAAGCACAGAAGGTGAAGCATTTCGTTTTGTCTATAAAATCCTAAATCTGTCAAATCATCCTATAAAATGAATCAGCAGTGACCTTAAAATGGTGGGACGTAATTTTTAGATATTTGGGTCAAAGATGCAACTGATGAAATTGACCCAATCATGTGATATATCAAGTTGTATTATATCACTTTGAATTGCATTTTAAATTCATCGTCTAGCTATTTTTTTAACTTCGAAATTTCTCTTTTATCTATCATCATAGCTCTATGATTGAGTAATTATAAAGTATTCCAATGTGACTACTAACCTAACCTAAGTTACTTTCTTTTGTTTACAATTCGCAATTGCAAAACGCAAAAATATTTTTCATTACAAAAAATCAATGAATGATGCTAAAAAAAAAATCAAAAGTTAGCTTTTCCTTTAACAGACAATATGGTATAAAAATCTCCAGTAGATAATTCAAGAAGAGAATTTAAGTAATTTAAAGGAGGCGGCCTTGAACTTCAAATATAATAGAAGTACATTCGTTGTCTGCTCCTCAACAACAGTCCTCCTCACAATTGTGTTCCTATCGAAGGACATAGTCAGTATCGTGGAAGGATGCATTCCAATACCACCAACAACTACGACTGCACCCCGTGGGCTTTTTGTTTACTTAATCTATTTACCACTTTATTTAGTCGTTTAAATTTACTAACAAATTACCTTTGAAACGAACAGTGTTTCTATACTTGTAAAAATTTGTCTGATTTCAAATACAATAGTTAAGACTACCACCATCTTAAGAAATGATTAACATAAATTTACAGAAATTAAAATCTCAAAGTACAAGGAAGAGAATAAAAAGAGAAAGACTGAAGATTTCAGTTTGTTGTCCAATGATAACAACGGGGAATCCGGCACAAGTCAGGCGGCCTCCACAAGCAACCGGAGCTGGCTTAGACGAGTGATCAGTACTACATCTCTTTTTGAGAAGAGTTTGTCTACAATTCGCTCAACTGGTCTGTTCCAGGAGTCCCGCGACAACGGTGCTCCTTGTTTGTCCCATTATTTCATTCTTCATCATCTATCAGAGTGTTTTGCCATCTTACTAACCAGTAACTGTCACCTGTTTCAGGTCAATTAGATAAAGTCTCAGGTTATCAGTGGAACGACTCCTGTTGTCAGCAGCAGTACGGAGCTAACGGTGGCTATGCTAGCAGTTAGTAGCTATTATAAATTACTTCTATTTATCACTTTTTAAGAGGATTATCAATCTAAAAATACTTTATCCAAATAAGGTTCGGTCTCTTTTCTTCATATTTTGATTGATTAAAATTAATCGGAAAAAAGAGAGAGAGAGAGCTACTAATATCTTATTCCATATGTGATAATATTTGATAAAATGAAATGATACAGATAGAGTGTGTAGCACCAGAAAGGTGGATGTATCGGAACACTCAGCAAAAGGTATTCGAATTTACTGGCGTGTCATGTAACCAGGAGACACCTACGTTTGGCAGTTATGTCATCAGTTAGCTCTCATCTCATGAAATGGAATGTTTAATTTTGTTCTTTCTATCAAATATATAAATTAAATCTCTATTGCAATTAAAATCTGCTACAGTTTCACAAAAAAATCGAACATCATTATATAATGCATATAGAAGAGTGAATTTCCAAGTTGGCATAGGGTTGTTCGATTCAACTTTAAGACATAAATTGTCCAGATATGACTGAAAGAGGGAGAGAGAGAGAGAGAGAGAGAGAGGTGAAAATGTCATTAACTTTTTCGGGAGATTGTCATTTTTGCTTTTTGAATATCTGCTTTTTTGAGTGATATTGATTGACATTCAAACAGAATAAATTTCTATTGTCAGTAGATCATGATTTGGAATTCCTTTTTTTCAACTTTTTATACGTACTGACAGGTTTTAAGAATTTCATGGCAACTTAAAAATGAAATTAAAAATTAGACAGAAAGAATGGATAAAATATTAGCGTGGGAAGAAAAATATAGATAAGTTGTATACTTTCCAATAAAATTGGAAATTATTAAATTTGAGAATGTGCAGAAAATTTAAACGGGACTTCCAAAAAAAATTTTTTTAGAAAATTTTTAGTCTTTTTCTATCACTTTCTACTTTTTATGAGTTCTTTTTATACTGATAGAGATTTCTGATCAGAGGCAAAGCTTTCCAGCAAAATTAGAAAAATTATAAAACAGTGAAGTTTAACATTTATGTACATATATTTGATTATTTATGTTATTTCATTAATTTATATACTTATTTTATTAATTTATATTATTTATCTATTCATTTTTCATTTAGTTGTTTGCCAATATTTCAAGCCTCGCCTAAATTTTGACAGTAATTTCATATAGTCCAAATTACATGGCAACTACTTTAGCCTAAAGGAGAGCCAAACGCCTTACTATTGATTGTATAGCATCCAGAAAAATCTTCCGAAACTTTCCGTAAGCAATTTTCACATTTTTACACAAAGCAAAAACAGAAGAAAAGTATGGCCATTTGTAATAGATATAAAAACAGAATGCATTCAATTATTCAAGAAATTGAAAATGAAATCCAGATCACTGATCGCTCGAACAGAACACATTTATCGTTTTCATGATTACTGTCTAAACACTGATCGTCATGTCCGTGCACATACTTGTCCTCGTGCACATACTGTTGCACTAAATTATCGAAAATTGATAACAGTATAAAGATAAAATTGAGCTATTTATTAATTCTGTCTTAATTATATCTATCTGATTGATATCTTACTAATTTCTCGCAAACAAATAACAATCTAGCAATTTTTACCAACGAAAGTTTAAATTCCTTTTAGTATGATCAAGAAATTTACATATACTTGAATTCAATGAATTATGAATTATTGGAATTTTTTATAAGTGTACAGAGCGTATGAAAACTTATTAACACATACAAAAGTTATGGAAGAGTGAATTAATTTTAATACAGTCATTAAACCTACAATTAAATTACAAGTAAATTTCATTAGCTTAATGATCACTACTTATAGTTACAAAGTCATCGCCAGCACTTTTTTTAAAAAAAAAAAGTAAGTAGCTGATACCAGCCAGCAAGTGTTCAAAGTATTTAAAACTTCCGTATTTTAAATAACAGGTTAATAATGGTTTCTATTAAATCATACTTATTTGTCTCACGCTACAAAACAAGCAAGTAGATCCGCATAGTCAATTCAGATTTAATCCTCAACAAATCTGAACATAGAAATTTGCTGGAATGCCAAAATCAAACTTACGCATAATTCTTTATCACAAATATTCAATTTGTTTTAGTTGGCTTCTAAACGCTAATGCTAAAATTTATGACTTTAAAAAACAACTAGAACTCAATGAGATGTTTATTTCATTACCCATTTTTCTATAATTCCAGAGTTTCTAGCTTCATAGCTTCCACATGGGAAAAGTATTTCCCTGAGATTTACGTCGTTAATCACAAATATCATAAAAATTATTCAGTCAAAACAGAAAATAGCGGCATCTCTTCCCTTCCTTTTCGAATTCACTTTTTGTTCTTAGAAGCAAAACAAACAGACATTTATTGAAAATTTATAAAGCTATTTTACATATCGTCTTATACCAACATGAATCCTCCCAAAATAAAAATTTACAACAAAAATTTTGTGATGAAAAGCTCTGTATTTGATATTACAGGTGAAGAATGTAACCAAGTAAGCACTATAAAGAGGTGAATAGTGAAGAAAAAACAGTTCATAGAAATTCACTCCAACAAGTAAAAACAATAAGCGAAGAAGCTTAGTTCTGAAGGTTTCCCTTAAAATTTCTTTTCCTCTGGAGAAACAAACAAATAAATACTTTATGAATTATGAAAGTTCCTAAAGTGTGACAATCAGCACGAAAGGAAAAAGAAATTCAAAATTGATAGAACTGAGCAACTGGAAATTTTCATAATAGCAGCCAACTTGAAACTACCCATCGTTTCATAATTAATCGAATTAAAGTTGGATACTTCTTGTGTAGTCATATTCTATTGTTGGAATCACTGCCTAAAATTCATGCTACTTATTTTTTCGTAACATCAAATAAAATTATAAACCATGAGAAAGTTAAAATCTATTTTTTAATATCGACCGTTTTTTTTTTTTCATTTTTGCTGATAAATAGTCTTTTCAATTAATTAATTTGATACAAGCTTCTGATTAGTTTATTTAGAGCAAGACTGATTAATTAGACCCATGTATATTCAAAGATCAACTCATCTATGAACAATTTTAAAATAACCTGAACAAATTTGAGGAATATAAGGAGATATTGATCAACACTCAATTCTTTTCCCGAGTCAGCAAGCTGCTCAATAAGACGCTTCATTACTTCTGCGTGTCTACAAGGATGGATGGAAGCCATAGCAGTGCGAAAATATGGATGAGATTCCATTGTAATAGTCTTATTAATATGGTCCTTAAATCATGGAAATTTATTTGAAAAATGCCGAAAACTGTTAAGGTAGCTAACAGTTAATATATGGGAAACGTACTAAGGGATATATATATATATACTGTTACTATTTTACATCTAAAAATCTAAGAAACAAGTAAACCTGCGAAAAATCTGCGCTCATTTTATCCACAGTAAGTGGTTTATTGTCTTCGTCATATCCGCACAACCAAAGACGAGGTACCTGAGCAATTAATAAAGAACTTAATTGTAAACCGTCACTAATGTTGAAATTGCTCAATGAAAATGGCAGAAATCGGATGTTTAAATCCAGTTATATAAATTATTGCATGATGATGATCAATAAGAAATTTATTATGGGCAAAAAAAAAAAAAAAATGGAATACACTGAAATAACCTATAATCAAAATAAGGTTTTCTTGAAAACTCGTTTCTTACCATCTACTACAACATTAAAATCCAAGTTACCTGATAATATTTGTCGTAAGTTATGTGAAGATCATAAGTACGTGTATGCAAAACGTTGTCGGTGTCACCTTCGGTCTGATTCCTCTCTTCTTCAACAAATCTTGAATATCTTTCCTAAGTTTTCTGACAAATATATTTAGAGAAAAGTTGAAAACCTTGATTACTAGAAAAATTTAGAATAGAAGAAAAAAAATTTGGATTATATCACCTTGGTGTTATTTCAGAAAATCTTTTGAAAAACTACCTATAAGGATCGTTTTCCTCGAGACCACCCTCAGCAACAAACGCATCCATGTCTACTGGTGGCCCACCATCATCCTCTGGTTCGTCCGATTGTTTTGACTAAAAGTAACACTAATATTTTTAAACAATTTAAAACGGTACCTGTATACATTACATAAAAATCCGAACCTCAGAAGATCCCATCTGAGGTATTTCGAACATCGATGCAGGTTTCTGACTAGCATCTAATATATAATGATGCGTATCAACCCATCCTTCATCATCCTCGACGTTGGTGAAATCACCCTCATCATTCCACTCTTTACTTTTTAGTATCTATAAGATTTAAATTTAAACAAGCTCTAAATAATTATAATATTCCTGAAAACTGTTGGGATAAAATTAACCCATGAACAAAAAGCAAACATTAAAAACACTATTTAACAGCAGACTAGGACTAAAATTTAACAGCACACTAGAAAGACTCAATTACATATAAGGAAAGGAAACCTTAAAAAAATCAACCTTAAAAAAATTTACTATTATTTAGCACTAAAGTTGCTAATGAATATACGAAGAGAACTAACAGATGTTTTTCCTTTCAATTCAAATAAAACACCTTTTCTTGTGATGAGTCATATTCCATATCCACACATCGACTAAAACACGGCACATTACGTGTGATCAAGAATTGCTTGTTTATAGGTAGATATGGTTTGGCTCTGAAATATTAATATATATGTAAAAAACTTTATATGATAAAAGTACGGCGAAATATATCATGTCATTTGTTCAGAAATTTTCATATAACTAAAAGCTTCCTTTTCAGCAACTAGAAAAACAATGAAAATATCATGCATTTTAGTAATACAACAAAAAAGAGGTGTAAAAAAGTGATTAATTTTGGTTTTTATATGAAATTGCTAGATTTTCGACTCAGAGGCGCATTTTAAAAAAAAAAAAAAACAAGAGTAAAATTTACTTTAAAGGATCTAATTGACCCCATGACCAAGTTGGACAATGATGTATAAGGTAGTCGCCGGCAATAACGAATTCTTCAGGATTTAATACGCCTGTTTCTTTGAATTTTGATTCCCGAAGCACTGGCGTTAAATACTGACCCACATCGAGGGCTATACTTTTTACCGAATTTACGATACTTTCCATCGTTAATTTCCACAATTAAAAAATTAGTAAAAAAACTGAAAAATAACATTAAGATAAATCTTTCTCTATAAATGTCGAACAATTATTCAAAGAAAACATGCAAATTAGTTAAAAGACGTCGATAATGATATTACATCCTTAGGTTACGCATATCTGTCTAACAGAAGATGAGTTTCTTATTTAAATACTTCAAATAATATAAAACTGTAATCACGCTATGTTATTATTACTGAGAATGAAAAAACTGATTACAGTGAAACAAAAGTTAACGAAGACATGACCGCTGACTATTTACAATGTGCAGCCAACTTCTTTTTTTCCCTACCTTAATTAGCTAATGAAATTTCTGCTTTTCAAAAAATCCAATCAGTCTTTCTCCCTCTTCTTTGATTATCTTTTTACATTGCAGACAGTTAATTGAATATCAGTTGTCCAGAATGTCAATCAACAGGATGTTCGACAACAACCTCATAGATTATCTCACAGAAGTGCAAATACAAAACACATCTTATGTAACTGAAGAAAATAGAAATACGGAACGAAACAATAAGTGCTTCTCTAATAATTACCCTTCTCCAATGAAAAACTTATTCCAATCGCAAAATGAGGCACGCAGTTAACCTGCACTTATTTCTACCCTCTTCTGTTTCATTCTTCATAAAGCTTTCATAGTTTTCTGATCAAATTTTGCATCTCTTCAGATGTATTACCACTTCTCCTCCTCGGTTAATATATAATGCGATCATACTATTGTTTGGAATTGTCTGAAAATTTCTCCTCAAATTATCCCATCACATCTATATCTCAAAATCACTCCGAGAATACCTAAACACCTAGATGACCCTCATTTCTGACCTTGATCCATTATGAACTCTAACCTTACACAAACTTTCGTCGCATTTGTATCAAATGATACGAACAGTGAAATGAAATGCGAAAAATAATTTAAGTGGAATGAGTAGCTTAGATTTAAATTTAAATTCTTTTGTTTTATCTTATATACTATTAATGTGTGTCTTTTTCGTTTTGCCATGATGTAATAATAAATGATATCGATGGATTGTATTTCATTAGGTTCCTCAATGATACGTAGATAAGACAGAAAGGAGAAGTAGGCAAGAGGGACTGTTTGATGTTTGATGGATACAGTAGTACATATCTCTCAATAGAGGTAAAAATATTGGTGGAATAGATAGAAAACAAAAGATAGATCTTTCCGAGATATTTCCGATTAATATCGTTAATAAACTGATTTTCATGATTCTATTCCAGTTGATTTTGTAGTCAAAATATCTTCCGTATTAGGAAAATATATTAAGTGTAAGGAAAAGGAAGTTATATAAGAATTTGTAAAGATTGCACCAAATTATTTGAAATAGCGATATAATTGAGTGTCTTATCCACTGTGTTATTTTCATTTGCTCTTCATATTTAAACTGCTTATTCAGTTATGAAATGAAATTATGCAAAATAGGTGTTAAGGAGTTTGTTTCCAAATCTGATTCGCTCTGTTTGTTTTTCAGGTATATCACACTAAAATATTTGTAATAATTACACTTTCATGCAGTATATATTTTTTTAAGTGCAATATTTTTGAATTTCAATTCCCAAACAATTTCTGCTGTGACAGAAGGGTCAGCAGATGAATTAATTTTAAAAATGAACTCTGAATTTGCCTCAGTTGTGAAATAGTAAAATATTGATGCGATTGAAGGACAGTTTCGGATGTACTATTTTTTATCTAGGATATTCATTTCATTTCATAACTAAGAAATTTGTTATTCTCCTTTTTTGATGGTAGATCTTATTAGTTGTGCAATTTAAGCTGGAAATTATTCAGATTTTGAAGGTGAATTTTATTTAAAACAAAATGATATTAAAGTGCCAAATGAATTCATGTCTCCTTGGAACCTGAAAAATGCATCAACGTTCATTCTTTATAAAATTTTTAAGTGAAATATCCATAAATACTAAAACAATTTCAGAAAAATGACTACAAACATAGGTGCTATTTTGAAAGGTTGATATCTAATAAATTACATTGTATTATATACATAATGATCACACGTAGTAACGAAATAACAGAACAAAGTATATTATGCATTAAAATCAATCTTTTTTCTCTATGCTATGTAAAACCACACCAATGTTTTCTTTTATCAAATTTTTGAATCAGAAATTAAAGCGCAAAAGATTTGAAATTTTAAAAATCTCTTAAGAATTTCCTTATTATTTTCACTGCTACTTTAAAAGTCCACCTTTAAAGTCAGATTTTGATAAATGTGTTTTATTCCGTATTTTGATACGCATAGTTTTAGTAAATGGTATGAACAGACTTTCACAAGATAATTACATTAGAATATTTGTAAAAGAAGAAAGAAAACTGAGCAAGTTACTGAATTCATGTTGATATCTTGATTTGCTTAACATAAAATATGCAAAATGTGCCATGAATTTCATCATTATTTTGAGAAAAAATTTTTTTTAATAAATATAATAGAAAAAAATTATGCAACTTAAGCAAATGTGTCGGGATTGGAATGTTCTGGTACGAGTATTTCGTAAGTATTTTCATCTTCCTTTTCTTCATCGTCGGAATTTAATCCCTCCTTTTCTGCTATCTTCCTCAGTGGAACAGTTTCGGGAATTGGTGGTAAATCCAAAAAGTCTGCAGAAAGTGACTCAAAATTTGCGCTACTTGGGCGCTCACCAAGTAATGCTGAAAGTTTAATCAGTTATTTGTTTTTACATTTGACGTTCTTTTTATCAAGATTTTTAGATTTTAATATAAATGAAAATGAATTAAGATTTGGAATTACAACTCAGTGTTTTCTCCAAGCAAATCTGAATAAGTTCTGATCTTATAAGTACTTCTAGAGACACCGTGATCCACAGAGTTAAATTATATTAAAAAGTTAAGTGAAAAGAGATGGAAGAATGAAGGTTGACTTGTTGATTATCTTTTCAGGGAATGTATTATAATGAACCTACAGAGTGATCTTTTGTTCCGTATGATAGAATCATTAAATCCTCGTGACAGCCAGGGGGTTGTTTTTATCGTCCGAAGCGATCTTAAAGGGCGATGCTCGAACTTTGCACTCATAATAGGATTAGAGAATAAATCCTGATTTGTGAGGAGACTGTGTTGGAAAAGTTCTTCTGGCGGTAAAGCATATGGTGAACGTCCGTCAAGGCTTCTGGTGGAAGAGAAGCACTTGCTTATAGCTACTGACTGTAAAAAAAATGAATTTTTCTTTTTGAATTTCACATCTAAATTTCATCTTTTTAGATTTGAAGAAAATCGAAAATTATTGACCTCCTCATCTTCACAAGCATCTTCGATTGTAGCAGGTAGTGATGGTGTTTTGTATTGTAGCTTTACTTTATGCTTCTTATCTTGATCCAGTGACAATTCCGGATATATTTCATCAATAATGCGTTGCCGTTGTTGTTGTGTTACGGCACGTCTACTGATATTTTCCGGTAAAGCATTATGCTCTATTGTTTCTTTAAAGCTGGTACGGCGAGCCGTCAGTGCTGTCATTTCGGAAATGCTTTGATATATCAAACTGCTGCAACAGTGAATTATTTTATTTTTAACGCGACAAATGTGACATATTACGCAAAACGATGTAAGTTTTGTAAATTTACATATGATTTTATAGCAACATGCCACTTACTGATAGATAATTCACTTTCTAATTAACCATTCCAAAATTAGTATTATAGAACAAATAAACAATATGAAATTAAGCAATAAAAGGAACAGTTTTTATTGGAATTACTCAATGATTTGCTAATGACTTTCTAGCGCTTCTATGGAAACAGCTCATCAAATAACACAAAAGGGAAGAATAAGCAACAACCGTGAACCATTTTATACTTCCATACTTTCCTTTCTCTTTCATTTATTTTCTAAAACGCGCATAAAAATTTGTTGAGAACTTATATGATTCAGAGAAATATCGCATGTAGTGTGTAAATTGCTAATAACTTTTAGTTGAAAATGTCTCCACTGAACGAAAATGATTTTTACAGTGTGAATTTACTATCTTATGTTTATTACGCATTGCTTGTGCAATGAAATGGATTGACGAACTGGCGCAAATATTAATTAATTTGAAGGAGTGGATGAGGTTGTTAACTTTTATTTTATTTGTTATTGTTATGTGTCAATAGCGCATGGAAATAAATCTCTTTTTAAGAAGCGAAGGAATCAAATCTTTTCTTTACATATTAATGAAAAAAAAAAGAATCGATTATTCTGCACCATAATTAGCAAATGGCTGTATCATTTCGTTTCGTAAATGAAATATAGCAAATTTAAAATGAACTGTCGCAAACAAACTGCCATCATCTATGATCAGATATGATACATTCTTTACATTATCATTTACTACCATAAAACGAATTCTCTATCTTCTGGTATAATTCAATTAGCTTAAATGAATAAGCGATTCCGTAAATGTTTTCAAAGATAGCATAATGGAAAATAAATTATTTGCAAATGTAAAATAACAGATATTAAGGATTTTTAATTTTTAAGCAGTCCTCTTCAAGTAAAACAAAGAATTTGATATTATTACTTTTAAGAATAAATTTCTATAAATTCATTGATAAATTTGTGAATTTAAAATTTACAATCTTACAAAATGAACTATGATGGATATTGCTACAAATATTGCTTTGAAGAAATGTCTTAATGTTATTATATTTGAAGACATTTATTATCTGTTACAGTCGATGACATAAAAGTTAGAAGTGAAATCGATTTCATTCAGTTCCTTAGCAAAGCTAAGTTATAGTTTATCGTTAGTGAATTATGCATATGAATACTACCTGTTAATTACCCATAAATTTTTATTCCAAGATGACAACCTCTGCTCTTCTCCTCTTTTCTGTTAATGTTACATCACAGTTCAAATTGCTATTTAAAGTTTGTCCTGATTTCTATGCATAGAAAATTCATTGCTTCAAAAGTGAACAATTTAAAGTTTAAA